ACATGCTCTACCTACTGAACCAGCCAGGCACCCTGAACTTTAATGAATTCTTTACATAAATATGTCAAAATACAAAACAGGTAAAATTATTAAAAGTCATTTGCTAACTTATTAAAAACTTAGTAGTGTAATTATGTGGAAGATTTAGACAGATTCATGGAATCAATCATAAAAATATTTTGGGGTGATATTGGTTCGGTTTCATAAATGACACAAAGGCTTAGAAACTTTTCATATTTATAAAGGGTCTCTAGCCTAGGTTTTTTGATTCCTAGTTAGACCTTTTCTATCAGAGCATACCACCTCTTCATCTGGTCTGTATCTCTTCAAGAGAAAGTTCAATTGATATGATTTATTATTTATTTGAAAAGTCAATAAAATGTGAATAATTTTAACAAATGTTTAATGAACAACTGGAGACCTCATTTTAATTTTCTAATTGTTCCTACTTTCCTAGTTATTACAAATTAGCATGAAATTGAAATGTCAATTGGACTAAAGTAGATAAATCTTTTGTTTTAATTAGTACTTTACAGGGTGACATTGTAACACTCCACAGCCCTCATATATTACAATGTGTAAAGAAATATCTTTCTTCGTATTCTTACAACTAACGCCTTATGCTTGCACAGTGAAGGAATTCCAGTGTAGTTGTCAGGGGCTAGCTATCCTGGTGTGACTTGCTCCATGGCAGATGCAGGTTCATTGTGCCTGCCAGAGTCAGCCAGGGATCCTTACTGCTCTAGCTTTTGTCCTGGGGAGAATCCTAGGCTGTAAATCATACACCATAATCTTGGATTAGGTAATAGATTTTGACCTGCTTTGCTCCCAAAGAACGGGAGTTTATCAACTGGGCACCTGGGAAATTGTAATTTATACCTCTAAGGAGAGGAGAGGAGTCTGGACACTAGCTGTGGCTATTATTTTCTGTGTTGGTCAGGCACTAATGTGTTTAAGATACAGAAACCTACTATGTCAGGGCACCTGGGTGGCTCAGTTAAGCATCTGCCTTCGGCTCAAGTCATGATCCCAGGGTCCTGGGATGGAGCCCCACATTGGGTTCCCTGGTCAGCAGGGAGCCTGCTTCTTCCTTTCCCTCTGCTGCTCCCCCCGCTTGTGCTCTCTTTCTCAAATAAATAAAATCTTTAAAAAAAAAAGAAACCTACTCTCAATTTCAAACAAAACGGGTGGGTAGTCAATGTTATTGTAAGGATGTGGTGGACGTTTCACAAATAGAGGGATATATAGTTCAGTCAGGGGATCCAGAGAACTCAAAAGAGGTAGGTCAGGAATGAAATAGACCTGGGCTAAATTAGGTTCTGCAATTTACTAGTTGTGTAATTGTAAGCAAGTCATTTAGTAGCCCTATAAACCCTTCTTCCTTAACTGTCCTAGGGAAACTAGTATCCCCTTCCCCACTAAGCTGCGAGGTTCAGATTGCAGGGAGAAGAATGATTGCTGGCATGGAGAAGGTGCCCAACAATATTCTATTAATATATGTATGATGAGAAATTAAAAGAATATTTGAAAAGGGCAGCTGCAAAAATATTTAAAGTTTATACCTGAAAACCTTGCCCTAATTACAATCCTGGGAGAATGTACAGTATGGTACAGAGAAAAATATCAGAATTGCATAGTCTTGGGTCAAGTTTTGTGACTTTAGAAAAGTTATTCATGCTTGAGGTGCCTGTTTTTACTTCTCTAATATCCCTAAAAACACTCACACCACTAAATTTATAATAGCATCTATGGTTGTGATAATTAAATTAGGCAATGTGTAGGAAGTACCTTGAACAGTGTCCAAAGTGTAGTAAATATCACACTACTATTGCTCTTTTGTTGTTAGGGGATAGCATGTCTCTTGGCATACCTCTTTGTACCTTAGTTCTAACAGTAGGTGGCAGCAGAGCTCTCCTAACCAATTTGAATGAACCCTGCCAACTTTTTGGAATCATCAGTGAAGGCTTACCCAATAGAAAGATGTGTGTAGGGCACCAGAAAAGCAGGGAGGGAGAGATCATAGAGAAAAGAAAGGAAGGGAGGAGGAGGAAAGAAGAGAGAGGGGCTGGGTGGGAGACCGAGAAATGTTTAGATATGATGTGATAATTCAAAAGAAAATACTAAAATAGTCTTTATGGGGGTGGAGTGAGAACCAGATCTCTATTGGATATCCTTCCACCTTCTATAGGATTTAATGTTATTTTTGTTTTTAAAGACATGTGGGAGAGTGGTACTTACCATATATTTTCTGTGTTGACAGTTTTTAAGGCTCTTAACTGGTCCTAGATGAGATTTCAGCTGCCCAGAAGAATCTCTAAGACATAATGTGTTTTACTGTTCATTTTTATCAAACTATTAATCTCAATGATAAAAATATGACTATTTTCCTCTGTGTAAAATATTCCTTCTACAATCAGACGCTTCGTGCGGGCGCCTGGGTGGCTCAGTCAGTTAAGCGTCTGCCTTCGGCTCAGGTCATGATCCCAGCGTCCTAGGATGGAGCCCTGCCTTGCGCTCCCTGCTCAGCGGGAAGCCTGCTTCTCCCTCTCCCACTCCCCCTGCTTGTGCTCTCTCTCTCTCTGTCAAATAAATAAATAAAATCTTAAAAAAAAAAGACAGTGTATATTAGTTATCTGTTGCTCTGTAACAAATACTCTAAAGGTTGGTGGCTTAAAATGATAAGCATTTATTTTCATATTTCCTGAGGGCCAGGAATCCTGGAATGGCTTAGCTAGGTGGTTCTCACTCAGGGTCTACCATGAAGTTTCAGTGAAGACAACAGCTGGGGCTGCAGTCATCTGAAGGCTTGATGGAGCCTTAGAGGATCTGCTTCCAAGCTGGCTCACTCACATGAGTGATGGCAAGAGGCCTCAGCACCTCACCAGTGGTTGGCTAGAGGCCTCTATTCCTCTGCATGTGAATTTCTCCATAAGGTGGCTTGAGTGTGCCCTAACATGGCATCTGATCTCTTCTAGGGTTAGTGATCCAAGAGAGACCACAAGAAGGAAGCCACAATACTTTTTATGACCTGGTCTCAGAAGTCATCTCTGTAACTTCTACCGTATTTGTTCAAAATGAGTCCCATAGGAAATAACTAAACACAATTCTCAGGAATCATATACATATACAGGAAATGAGGTTCAAAGTTGGAGAAATCACAGGCTGTCTAATCTCTCTCAGTGGGGTCCTGGACACATCATCGTCTCCCTGGATCTTGATTTCTTCCTCCATAAAAAGAGAACAGCCACAGCTCCATGAGCCACAATGCTCAAGTGGCCTGTCTCCGCCCCACCTGGGTGTGATTTCAGTTAACAACTTGGTCTCTGTTTTTTAATCTCTAAAATGAAATGATCTTAGACAGTGGCTTTCACACTTTTTAGACCCATTGTGAGACTATACTTTATATTGAAACTGCATACACACACAGGCATGAAAAAGAGTCTGTATGGATAACAAAAATAAAGTTCCACAGGGGCACCTGGGTGGCTCAGTCATTGGGCGTCTGCCTTCGGCTCGGGTCAGGATCCCAGGCTCCTGGGATCCGCCCCGCATCAGGCTCTGCTCCGTGGGAAGCCTGCTTCTCCGTCTCCCACTCCCCCTGCTTGTGTTCCCTCTCTCGCTGTGTCTCTCTCTGTCAAATAAATAAATTAACATGAAACTATCATATCCACGTCACTCTTAAAAATATATATATATATAAGTTCCACAAAACAATACTTAGACTTATTTGTATGATGTACTCTCACTCCTCACCCTCCACACCATTCTATGTTAATTTGTTTGAAAAAATTCAGTTCAAAATCTACCACATCGATGTTACAGCCCAGTAATGGATTCAAGATTCTTTGTGTTAAAAACTAACACCCACTCTCACTCGTTGAGGCTCCTTTTCCAATGGCACTGGAACAGAAATGTTAAAGAGTGAAGGAGTCCTCACCTTCTAGTTTTGGGGAAGCAAAAAGCACCTTCAAAGGTGGTTGGTTCAAGCCTACCAGCCTATCCTAATTAGACAGGAGCTAGTATCAGAGGTATCTTGTCAGGGTGGAAAGGGTACCGTGTTTAGCTTCAAAAGTTGGCCCTGCAACTCGTGAGCTGCGCCACTTCAGGCAGTCCTTTAACCTGAGTTCATTCCTCCTCTCCATAATTGGAATAGTAAGTATCCCTTGCCTATCTCATAAAGTTGTTACTAGGCGCAAAATCAGACAGTCAGTCACTTACCGTGTTGGCAGAGAATGCACAAGACATGCTCTTTAATCCTCACAAGGACCCTGCAAGATACAGAGTCTGATACTTGTTTTACAGATAGAGAAATTGAGGATTGGAGAATTTACATAGGCAAGACTTTGAAGTTAGCAAGTGGTAGAACTAGAATTCCAAACCTGTTCTGACTCCAAAACCCATGTGAAAAATAGGTGGGCTATTTTCCTTTGACGTTTAAGTGGTGACCATCTACGATGTATTAAAATACAGATTCATCCTGAATCACCACAGGGTAACGACTTCAGAAACTGGTCCATCAGGCTACCTTTTCTAATCTGTCTTGCCCTGACCACGATGAACACATAACCTATCACAGGTAGGCTCCGGGCTTTTTAGCGTTTCTAGCTGCTTGACCCACCAGGGAGAGTGAACCTTGACAACAGCGCCTCCGCTCCTCAGGCGTCACCGGTGAGCCTCGCTCACGGTGAACACGTCAGAACGGAGCACATTTCTTTAAGTGGTGCCCCCAAATGGTCCCCATAACCAAATCCCCGGGTCGCTTAATACAACACCCTGACATTTAAAAGTGTCATTTTCAGAGAAAGGCCTAGCTTACAGCTTTTGCTCCTAAGTTTTGTTCCGTCAAGTGTGTGCGGGCCTTGGTTGCTTAACCCGAAGGCCCCGAGGGCCCCCGTTCCGGGCCTGGCTCCCCGCGCCCCTGGCGGAAGGAACTGGCACCATAAAGCCCATTATTGAGGCCTCCGTGTGACGCGAGGCATCCCGGCCCTGGGCGCGGCCCGCAGCTCGGGCGCGAGCAAGAAGGAGGCGTGTGCCCGCGGCGCGGGCCCGCAGGTGTGCGCGGCCATGGGCGTCTAATCGGGCGCGCGCTCCGCCCTCGGCCCGCGTGGGATCACGACCCTCCGAGACCAGCGAGCGCGGGTCTTCTGGCGCGGGCGCCCGCCCTCCTCTCTCCCTACTCCGGGAACCCACCCTCGGGGCCCCGGCTGACTGGGAGTGCCGGCCGCCCGTCGGGTGGGGGTGGGAGGAGAGGTGGGGAGCCGGCGTGGGAAGGGGCGGGGGGAGGGGAAGGGAGGGGAGGGGCGGGGAGGACCCGCCCCTCCGCCGCGGGCTCGGCAAGCGGCCGAAGCTCCACCCGCTTCCCAGAGGCGCGTCCTGCTCGGAACTGCGCGCGGGGGCTGGGGAGAGGCTGGCCCCTCCGAAGTGTGCGTGGGTGGGGCGGTGGGAGTGGCGTGGGAGGGGCGCGTACGGTGGGCCGCTTTCTGGTAAGCAGAGATTTTTGGAAAAAGGGAAAACCTGGGAAGGTTTAGCTCCTTTAAAGGGCTCGGGCGCGGAACGGGAAGTTCCGGTACCCGCAGAACCAATTGTCGCTTAACATTGCCAAAGTCAGACACGTTTGGGTGAGGTGTTTGAACCAGTTTGGCAGGCTTGGGAGGTGATGGAATGCCGATGTCGTTACCTTGGCATTTTCTCCGTACATGGCAAGAAATGATAAAATGAGTTCATGGAAAATGAAAGAGAACACGGTTGTACATTAGGAGTTCAGCTTCAAGGAATGTTTTATGAGGGATGTTCTGACATTCAGAAATGCTTTTTTTTTTTTTTTAAGATTTTATTTATATATTTGACAGAGACAGTGAGAGAGGGAACACAAGCAGGGGGAGTGGGAGAGGAAGAAGCAGGCCTCCTGCCGAGCAGGGAGCCCGATGCGGGGCTCCATCCCAGGACCCTGGGATCATGACCTGAGCTGAAGGCAGACACTTAACGACTGAGCCACCCAGGCGCCCCAGAAATGCTTTTTCTAAATCTTTTTATTATGTGGGTATTAAAGTGAAAGTCATTAATTCTGGGTGTTGCAAACATTTCAGGTAAAGCGAACAGAGTATGCCAATCATTCCATCAGGCACTTATGTTAAGAACTTGGACGGTGGTAATTCACCATGGCTTATGGCTTGCCAAGAAAGAACACAGTGAAGACCATATTGCAGGGCAGTTGTTATAAAGTGTAAGTATTTTCATCACGGTGAGCACTGACTAGGGGTGAGGAGTGTCCTTGGTAAAATAGCAGTACCGGAAACCCTTAGGTTCTCCATGAGATACTGGACTATGCGAGGTGTTTTCAGTTATCTGAATAGTGATTTTTTTTAAAAAGGGAAAATGCTTTTAATAAGAATTTATAAGTTATCTTACTTGGTCTTTACAACAAAACAACACAAACTGATTTTTGGCAAAGTGGGTTGATCAAAGTCACTCAGTCATGGAGTAAACAAGTGACAGAGATGGAAGTCTGTCTTCTGACTCCAAAGCAACATCTACTACGTTAAAATACCTGTCAACTACGTTAAAATACCTCCGTACATAGTGTAAATCTACCTAAAAATGTCTTGGTGTCCGGTATATCTTTTTTTTTTTTTTTAATTTGTTTACTTGAGAAAGAGACGGGGAGAGGGAGAGAGTACAAGCAGGGGGAGCGGCAGGCAGAGGGAGCTATGAACTTTGCTCCCTCCCCCACCATATCTTATATAGCCTAATGGTTAAGACCTCAGATTCTAGAGTCCGACTTTCTGGTTTCAAATCCTAAACCCATGACCAAGAGCCTTGTGATCTTGAGCAAGTTGTTCTACTGCTGTTTCCTAATCTCTCAAATGAGCATAATAATAGCATCCACCTACTTCATAGGGTTGCTGTGGCAATTAAAGGTGTTCATATGTGTAAACTGATAAAACAGTGCCCAGCATATAGTAAGTGCTAGATAAAAATTAGCTGTTTTATTGCTCATCTTTCCAAATCAACATATAAGGATAAACCTCATTCTTTCATTCTGTGTATGAACCACAGTGTGTTTAACCAGGCTCTTCTTGATAGACATTAAGGCTATTTTGTGAAATTTTTTTGGACAAACAATGCTTCAGTGAACATTCTTATAAATACATTTTTGTGCCCTTGTTCAAATGCATTTATAATAATTGTAGACCTCAAGTCACTCTTTAAAGTTAGATGTTGAAGTAGCAAGGAAGCTAGAGGAGGAAAACAAGTAGACCCATGTACAGAATACTCGTTTCCCCGATTTGTATCAAAGCAGGTCTTTCACCTTTCCTCGTGTATGGACTCTCTGAGATGAGAAACATGTAGTTGACATTTTGAATTTCCAAATTAGCACATATAAAACAATTCATTTGAAGTTCATGGTGATTATTTTTAATATTATAGTTTGGGATTTCCTCCACCCCCTTCTCCAGTTTTCTGAGGATTCTCTTGGTACTAGTGCTTCTAAATAACTACCCCTAGGCTAAGTACCAGCTCTGGTTCTTAATTAACTTCCAAGTCTCAGTTTCCTTGTCTTCCTGCATGGTGGTTGTAAAGATTAAAATAAGATCACACATTCAAAGCCTTTGTGTATGCCAAGCACCCTGCTCAATGCACGATTATTCCCCCTTTTTCCTTCCCTAATATGACCATATTTGTGATCAGCCATAAAAGACTTGGAGCATACAGTTTTTAACTATATCCTCTTAAAAGACATGGAAAGATTAGATTGACTGCAGGGAGGCTATTTTTTAACAAAAGTTCCTGCCATTATAATTTATCATAATTTTCAATATATCTCTATGTGTGTGTGTGTATATATATATAAAATATACACGTTATACATTATACATTTAATGTAAAGCTCCTTCTCCTGGCTAGATTTACAACTCTGGAAAATCCTGAATTCCCCCCATAAGCGAAAATATCTAGTGGAAAATGGAACTGAGAGTTAAGATGTCTTCTGTATATCCCACAATAGATGCTCAGGAAATATTTATTGAATGAATTAATGAATTTTTGCCCCAGACAGGAACCTTGGGAACTTGCACTGCTTACAAAGACCTGGTATACGAACCTAGCCAACATCAAGTCACCTTTCTTGGGAAAAATTACATTTGGTAGCCCTTTATGCCTCAGAAAAACTAAAGCCATTAAGAATGCTCTGCTCCCTTCTGCAGAATGTAAGTTCTGTAAGAGCTACTTTAGTAAATAGCAAATTTTATCTGTGTTATTTTGCTTATTATCAGAGAAATGTTTAAATATACTCACTCACACCCATACCCTTCATCTATGTAGCCCTTCTTGTTTAGTATCTAAGAATGTGAATTTTGCCGTGTGATTCAGTGTTCATTTTTAACAATATTATGCCTGGTGAGAAATGTCAGTTGGATTGCTCCATGTATTTTGTTTTCCAGCCCTCAAACTTGAAAGGGAGTATGAAATGAAGCGCTTGAATCACCTGAAATGTCAGCAGAATGTAGCTGTGGAAATTCAGCTTTCCCTAAGGGAAAGGCAAGTTGGTTTGAGAAGACCTCTTCCACCTAAGTGATATCATCTCATAATCAAATCTGTACTCAGTGCTTTCCACGTCCAAAGGCAATGAAGGTCTCCAACCTTTTACTGTGTGAAGTTTGGTACAGACATATGAATGCCCACTGGTAGATTAGCCAGTGGGTTAATGGACAGCTCTGACAGATCTTCTGTGTCCCTTCCTTTGTACCACAAGAGACAACACTGTAAGTAGATGAAAAAGTAGCTGGAATTGAGTCATTTATATGATTATTCATTGTGATTTTTGTTCAATTGCACTAAGGAAAGAGGAAACTCGTCAGAGATATTATTTTGAATTTGCATTTTGAGACGCCAAAAAGGAGAGAGAAAAATTCTGTTTTTTTTTTTTTTAAAGATTCTATTTTTCAGTAATCTTTACATCCAACTTGGGGCTTGAACTCACAACCCTGAGATCAAGAGTCATATCCTCCACAGACTGCGCCAGCCAGGCACCCCAAGCAAAATTCTTTTAAACATGGTAGACTGAAAATTGTTTGGTTAAGAAAAATTTTAGGTTTCATTTTAGTAACTCTTTAGTTTCCAATGTTCAGTGAAACATCATTTACTATTCTCATACCATACTTTATTTTTATCTATCTATCTATCTATCTATCTATCTATCTATCTATCTATCTATCTAGGCTCCATGCCCAGCATGGAGCCCAAGGTGGGGCTTGAACTCACAACCCTGAGATCAAGACCTGAGCTGAGATCAAGAGTTGGATGCTTATCTGACTGAGCCACCCAGGTGCCCCTGTCATGTAGTACTTTAAAGTAGAAAGTAGAACTTACTTTCTGCTTTTGTTTTCCTAAAAAATCATCTTTTCCCTTTTGCCCTTTTGCTTCATTTCATATTGTCTCTCTGGGATGCCCTTGGATCATGTGAAACACACATACATATGTGAAAATGACATGAAAATGCAAAGACCTTATTTTAAGGAAAATGCTTATTTACAGAGAGGCTAGAGAATGGGGACTTGATTAGCTGGATAATGTTGGACTAGCAGGAGCCAATTTTCCTAGAATTTGAATCCAGTACAGCACACTTGGGTATGAAAGTTGTATTTGAGGGGGCGCATGGGTGGCTCAGTCGTTAAGTGTCCCAGGGTCCTGGGATCGAGCCCCGCATCAGGCTCCCTTCTCCACGGGAAGCCTGCTTCTCCCTCTCCCACTCCCCCTTGCTTGTGTTCCCTCTCTCTCTCTGTGGCAAATAAATAAATAAATAAAATCTTTTAAAAAAGTGAAAGTTATATTTGAGCACAATTTAGTGTTTGTTAGATGAATCCGTAGGTGTTTAAGTGTCTTCTGTTATCTTAGCCTCGTTCTAAAAGGTCTCCTGGCCTCGTGGTTACGAGTTCATACTTTACACCTGGCTGCCTTCTTCAACTCTCAGCTTGGCTACTTACAGCGGTGTGACTTGGGGAGAGTTGCTTTATGTCTCTGAGTTTCAGTTTTCTTACATGTAAAACAGGGATGATACTGGTACCTCCTACACAGTTGTCTTGAGGATTAAATGGAAACTGGCCCACAATGAGAGCTACTCTAATAGTAGATTAGAGTTATATTATTATAGTATTAGAGTATTATAATACTCAATATTCTGGTAATTACTGTGAGCATCACTACCTTTTTACTGCTATAATCTCCAGAGCAAAGATGTATTATATTGGCCTGACTCTGTTGACCTTTGTGGAGACCAAAAGTCTTGAATTTTCAAGAGTTGGGTTTTGTTCTTTCAATGTATATATACTTGCCAGACCATACATGACCTGATTTTTTAGTTCAAAATCTGGCCACTGTACCTATGGCATCTCCTGATCATTTCTGTTTTAAAAACAATAATCTCTGAGAGTCAGTTTGTCACTTACGTCTTTTTTTTTAAATTTTATTTATTTATTTGACAGAGAGAGACACAGTGAGAGAAGGAACACAAGCAGGGAGAGTGGGAGAGGGAGAAGCAGGCTTCCCACCGAGCACGGAGCCCGATGCGGGACTCAATCCCAGGACCCTGGGACCATGACCTGAGCCGAAGGCAGACACTTAACGACTGAGCCACCCAGGCGCCCCATGTCTTTTTTTTTTTTTAAGATGATTTATTGATTTATTTGACAGAGAGAGCAGCAGGCAGAGGGAGAGGGAGAAGCGGGCTCCCCGCGGGGCTCGATTCCAGGACCCTGGGATCATGACCTGAGCCGAAGGCAGACACTTAACCTATCGAGCCACCCAGGTGCCCTATATTAGTCTTCCTGATGGTACCCCACAAGTCTCTTAGACTCTCTTCACTTTTCTTCATTAGCTCTAGTCTACTGATGCCGTTCTGGAATGGTATCAGGGGGAAAATATCATCCAATTCAATATTTCCCAGAGTGAATCTTCCAGTTTTGCAAGAGGAGATGAAATAAAGAGGAAAAAGAACACAACTGGTTATTGTGTTTTTGCGAAAATTTCAAATGTAACAAAAGTAGCAAGAACAAGAAAATGAACTTCCATGTCTCCTTCACTGAACAGCACTTATGAACTCATGGCTAATATTATTTCACTTACACTCACTCATTTTCCACTTCCACCCTCGCAAGTCCCTACCACCAGATTGTTTTTTATTATATTTTATTATAGTTTTTTAATAAGTTAGATATTTTTAAAGATTATTTATTTATTTATTTGAGAGAGAGAGCATGAGTGGGGAGAGGGGCAGAGGGAAAGGGAGTAGCAGACTTCCTGCTGAGCATGGAGCCTGACCCTGGGATCATGACCCGAACTGAAGTCAGACACCCAACCAACTGAGCCACCCAGGTGCATCCCACCAGATTATTTTGAAGTAAATTTTAGACATCATATCAGTTCATCTGTATTTACAGAAATGCAAATTTTATAAATGTGACCATTTCCAATTTTGTAAGGGATGGACTGATCAAAGCATACCTAGGGGACCATAATCCACCCGTGTGGGCCCACAGTTTGACTTTTCACTGGGGAGTTGTATCTGGTGGTGGTTGTTTCAAAATATTTAGAAGCTATCATCTGAATTATCTTCAGATACTTTCTCCTACCTGTGATATGCTGGCTCACATGGAGGACACTTGCTCTTAGGAATTATGATGTCAGTGATGCATTTGATTTAGTGATCCTTAGGCCTGGAAATAGCTTTCAGGAGCACAGGGGGTCTGGATGTAGTCTAGGTTGGATAACTTTGAGGAGGTGGAGCTTCCACATTGCTAGATCAGATTGGCTTTATAAAATTCACATGTGCTTTGTGTAAGTTGCTTATCTGCCAACCAGAGCCACTCCCAAAGTTTCTTGGTAGAGCGTCTGGGATTTTCTCTGTGTTACCCAGTTGTACCACTTCTCTCCACCTTTTTTACACATTTGTCCTCGCCAGTTCTTTCTTCCAGTTGACTAGTTTTTTTCCCCCTTCATCAATGTTATTATCATAAATATGACAGCTGGGTTGCTAACTGCTTAAAATGTGGGAAAATTCCATTTTATAATTACACAACCAAAGACCAGTCTTTAGCAAAAATTCAGTGTGTTTCTATTTCTTCAGAAATCAAAACCAATTTACTATTTTCTTTAAAAAATTAATCACATATGTTTTGGATGGTAATGGGATTAATTGTGTGTTTGTTTCTGTCGTTCATGTCCCACTGAGTAGCTTGCACTTTCCCTTTTAGGGTCACTGTCACTAGTTCATCTGGGCTGGAGATAACACCTCCAATAGTGTCTTGGAAAACTAGAAATATTTTTCAATCTAAAGACCACAAATCTACTGTACAATGTATCTAACATTGTTGCTCTTAATAAGTTTTAATTTCTTAAAAATCAGATTTATTTAGGGGCGCCTGGGTGGCTCAGTTGGTTGTGTCTGCCTTTAGCTCAGGTCATGATCCCAGGGTCCTGGGATCGACTCCCACATCGGGCTCCCTGCTCAGTGGGGAGTCTGCTTGTCTCTCTCCCTCTGCTCCTTTCCTTGGCTCGTGTTCTCTCTCTCAAATAAATAAATAAATAAATAAATAAATAAAATCTTAAAAACAAAACAAAACAAAAAACCAGTAGCTCTGTGGATCCTCACCACTCATTTCCACTTCTATGGAGGCAACTAATTTTATCTCTTTCACTTGTTTTATTATTTACCTTCATGTCTCTAAATAATGCTTTGATTTTGCTACTTCTTGGATTTTTCTTTTTTAGGTATTGACTTCCCATATAGAAGATAGCATTTTTTCCTTTTCTTTCCTCCATCCTCAACACACATACATACCATTTCTATCTACCTGTAAATATAGGTTATATTATAATTTTGGTTAGATCAATATTAAATGTTAACGTTATTATGACACTATTATGTTAACATAATAGTGTGTAAATACTTAACAGCTGAGCTATGTGGTAGACTATTACTACTTTTCCTTTCCTGCCATTGTGTGTGTGTGTGTGTGTGCATGCGCAGTATTTAGTAATTTAGTAATTAGAGTTTATATTTGCTTAGTTTGTAATGTATTTATCACTAAACCCCAAGCTCTTTGCCAGTTATCAGTCTTCTCAAAACAATCCTATGTATGCTATCATTTCGTCTTCTTGAGAAGTCTTATCCTGCTTTACCCTGAACTGTTTATTTCCACACTCTTATGTAGCTCTCTATGATTTCTGTTATCATGGGGATTCACTTCACACTCTTTGATGTAGTTGCTCCTGTTTCTTCTGTATCTGTCCATCCTCTTTCTTGGTTTATTTATTTTTTTATTACAGTGGAGCATATCCTCCAGTAGTTACCTGAGAAAGGGTGCGTGGGAGGGTATTTTTTTGAGGTCCTATTGTCCAAAGTCTGTATTTTTTGCTCAGATTTCATTGATAGATTGGCTGAGTGTAGAATTGTAGGTTGTAAATAATGTTCATTTAAAATTGTGAAGGATTTGTGTATTTCTTTTTAGTTTTTAATATTGTTAGTGAGCATTCCAAAGTCATTTTTACTTTGGATGCTTTCCCTGAGACCTGCTTTTTTCTCTCTGGAAGCTACAGCATCTTCTAGATCCCACTGTTCTGATAGGAATCATGGTGTAAGACTAATAATCCAATGTAGCATGGCGATGTACAGCATTGGATGTAGAGCATGAGCCACCAGGATTGAATGCTGGTTCCATCACTTATTAAGCTGTGTCATCTTGGACAAATTATTTAACTTTCCTGT